GGGGGGGAAGGCTCTAGCCACAAGAGGCCTCAGTCGCTCCTCTTGCCCCCAGGCCAGCGGTTCCACTGCGGAGGGAAGAAGAAGAGGAGGTGGGTATTGCACAGTTTTAAGGCAGCCTCCTCTCTCCTCCCCATCCTAGTCCTGCCAGCGGAAAAGGCTGGAGTCTCGGCTCGTACTCCCTCCCAGTTCAGCCACATCGCCTAGCATAACACATCTCCCCTTGCTTTTCACTCCACAGACAAGGAAACGAGGAAGACCTGTAGCTGCAGGTAGGTTGCGGGAGGACACACCCAGCTGGCAGCCAGGCTCCCTGGGTCTGCCTGGGCTGGGCAGCGGTGCTTCGAGGGAAGTACCTACGTGGTACACCAGGCTTCAGGGAAGTACCTACGTGGGGGTCTGTCTGGGGAGGAGAGGGGCTAGGGCACGCTGGCCTCTGTGGCCATGTAACCCTCCCGTTCTGTCTGATTTCAGAGCTGCCATGCTGCCATGGAAGCAGAGCTTCCTCCAAAGCAGCGAAGTCATTGCCAAGGGCCACCCCTTACCCCGCTCCAGTGGCTCCATTACCCTGCTCACCCCAGACGAGGCCAGGACGCAAATTGCCCTCGTGCTTTTCCCTCTGTTAGATGCAGCAAGAGTTTCTTGGCTAATAAAGTTCAAGCTGAGAGAGGTTAAACTTTGTGCCCGAGGCATCTGAATCGCCCACTGTCCTGGCCCGGCACCAATGACCTTTCTGCCCTGCAGACATCTTCCAACACAGACCCAGGAAGGGTTTCTGCTGGCTCCTCCGCACACCCGCGGCACGGAGCAGCTGGCCGCCTCCGCTCTGGGTTTGCACCAGGGCTTGCAGAGGGAGGGACGTTCCTGCTCTCAGCCACCCTGGCTGCTTTGAGGAAACATCCCTCTCGGCCGGCACAAATGCTGGCTGCAGGTGCCCAAATCCTGAGGCAAATGCCCTTCCCCTGGGCTACACGGTGAGGGGTTTGGAGTGCTACCCCATGCTGTGCAGGCTGCAGGCCAGGTCAGATGCAGAAGCGAGTGTGTGCTGTTCGCAGGGGGCCATTTTCATGCTTGCTTTCTGGGAGTGCTTGATCCGGGCATCCTTCCTGGGCAAGGACGGGGCTGGGATGGTGCATCCAGCTCCTCGGTTTCGCTGCCTCTCTCCTCTTTGGATACAGATGGCAGCAAAAAGGAAGAAAACTCTCCTGCAATTGGGCAGTGAGCGAGGAGGGAGCTTTGCTCCCGGTGCCTGCCTGCAGGTGAGTTGGACCGACACGGACATCTAGTGACCAGGCAGCGGCCCCACTGATGGCTCTGCTGCCAGCTTCCGAAACCACTGCCCCCCAGCACCCACGAGCCCTTCCCTTGCAGGCTCTAGGGCTCAAGGTGTGCATCGGGTCACCCTAAGCAACCAGAGAAATAGCTTGCAGCAACGGAGGCAGCGGGGAGCTCGCTCCCAGCTCCAGCAGTATGCGGGGGGTGCTTTGCCAGGTAACGCTGCAGGTGGGGAACGCTGCAGGTGAGGACCAGCAGAATGTGGTGCTCTGTGGGCAGCGGGGCAGGAGCCTTTGCTCCTCCATGCCCGCAGTCCTGCGTGGGCACCCATTCTGCTAGCAGTGCCATGGGAGCGGGGAGTCCGTGGGGGCCTGGCCAGTGGCGGTGGAGGGGCCAGTAAGGGTCCTTGCCCAGCTCGGGCTGGTTCCCCTCATCACCTGCAGCCCCGCGGGGTTTGGGCGTGCACCGCATTGCGTTCTGGAAGCCTGAGCGTCCCAGCACTGCTGGCGGAGGAGAAACCAGCTCGCCTGCTGTTTGGGCCTCAATTGAGGTCAGACATTGACAGTGAAATAGGATTAGCTGAGGGAAGGTTATTAGACAAAATCCGTGCAATTTGTCTAATCGGAGGTGCTTATTTAACGTGGTAAGGAGATTATTTTGAAATAGAATTTTGACTTGACACTGACCCACTAATAAAGCCTCGTGGCAGCTTTGCACAGCTCGAATGGGAACCAGAGGCCTTCAGTGGAGGGAGAAGAGTACCTGTTTAGCAGCATAGACAAGCCGAAAGGTTTGCTCGCAGCAGAGCTGGCCCTGCCCTCCCCCTGCTCCGACCTCCCAGTCCTCACCGGCAAGGCGTGTGGCATGGTTGTGGTGCCCTAAAGAAGGAGCTAAAGGGCCCAGCAGCCGGGAAGGCAGCCGGTGTATGAGACGAGCCCGTCCTCAGCAGGGTCCCACATCCCTGAGGCCCAGGGCTCCCGGGGCTCCCTGTCCTCCCCAGCGCCGGGCCGGGCCAGGGCTCAGGGCACAGGCGTGCCCTTCAGGGTGCACGTCCCCTGGCACCGGCCCCCCGGAAAGCCCCGCAGACAGAACCCCTGCAGCTCGAAGGCAGGAGATTAAGGGGAGCGAAAAGCCATGTCTGGCTCCCTGCGCAGGGGGATCTCTGTCTCGGCACCAGATGGCATTAATAGCATTATTCTGCATGGCTCGCAGACACCCGCATGTGCACGCACGCTTGCGCAGCCCTTTGCACCCCTGGCTGGGGCCTGGGGGCCGTGCCACAGGTTGGGGGATGCTGACGGGGTGTGCGGCGGCAGAGCGGGAGGCACTGCCGGCACCTCAAGGCTTGCACCGGGGGTTACATTTGGAAGGCAGGCTATTATCAGAGCTAAACTGCGAGCAGCCTGGCTCTGTGCCCCTCCAGGATGGAGGCGGGGAACCAGGGCCGGGGGAAAGGCATAAGCAAAGTATATGATGCATGGTAAATGTGGCCTCCCTGGGCCAGGGGCGGGGGTGCTGCCAGTGGCCCCTGCTCGCCGGGCCGGCACACAGGTGTGAGCCGCCTCTGAGGCAGGGCTCTCTGCTCCTCTCCGTGTCTTCACGGTCCTCGGCTTTGGAGGTTGAGCCCAGGAGCTATGGGAGCAGGAAGACCACAGGAAAAGGCCGCCATGTCTCCGCTCGGCTGCCTTTCTCCTGCTGCTGCCCCGGTGAGAGGCTCCTGCTCTCCCCAGGGCTTGGGCAGGGGGAGTTGTGGGCTCCGTCGGATGGTGCCCCACGGGACAAGCTCCAGCCCCACAGTCCTTTCCCTGCACCCGCGGCCCTGCGGGTCAGCTGGGAGCTGCGGCCTCGGTGAGGACACGTTCGCCTTCTCCCCTGAAGCAGGCAATCTTGGAGGATTTCTCTCACAGTCCCTTGAGCCATTAATCTTCTCAAAGTAAATCTTTTTGGTGACACAAAGGGGATTGGGTAAGTAATACAGCGGACAACTGGAGTGTCCTTTTCCTCTGGGAAGCCTTCCAGTTCTGAACAGCTTCCCCCTGGCACTGGCTATTCCCTGTTTGCTTTGCCAGTCCCTGGACGGACAGGTACGAGGGAGAGGGGCTCCGACCGGCTGTGGCTCGGCCAGCTTCTGTGCTTAATCCATGGCTGAACGTGAGGAGATGAGGCACCGGGGCAGGAACAGGAGGAGCAGCGGCCAGGGAGGCTGGCTGCTTAGCTCGCCCAGCCTGGAGGCCACCAGTACTGCTCCGCCATCTCCGTCATGCCAGGGATGCATGCAAAATGTCTCCTCATCATTAGTTAAAACAGGAGAGCAGCAAATGGTGACTAATGGAGCCAAAGAGGAACACTTGACAACACGAGAGACGGGGCTGGGCTGGCAGGGAGCCAGCCACACGCCTCGTTCTCCCTTTGTTCTGCTCCTGAAAAGGCAGCGCATCCATCAACAGCAACGCGTCTGCCAAAACAGCAGCGTTCCGTGGTCTGAAATTATCTCCCCGACCAAAGTAAATAACATTTCGGCCCTCATTTCCACGTTGCAGGTGCCCCAAAGCAGTGGTTTTCAGAAAACACCTGCTCACGCCAAGCCGGGCCCGCAGAGCAGCCCTGCGGCAGCGATGCCGTGTGAACGCAGCCCCACAGCTCGGCTTCAGCGGCGTGAGCCCGGCAATGGATGGGCCGGCTCCTTGCGGCCGCTTTCGTGGCGGACTGAAGCTGCGAAGCGAAGAAGTGTCCTCGTGAAGCCGGTGCCTTGGCCCTGCTAAAACTTTGCCGAGCCACTGGTGACTCTCCAGGCTCGCCCTGGAGCCGGCGAGGACCGGAACCCTGCTCACCCCCTCCTTGTAGGGGGGCTTCCCTCCGCCGGGCCTGAGCTGCACCTCCCGCACCCTCACCTCTGAACTACCGCCCAGGGAGCGGAGCACAAGCCCTGCCTCAAGCCCCGGGCACCGCGGCCAGGCTGCCGCCGCGGTCCCCGGGAGAAGCGGGGCCGCGCTTCCCCGCTCCGCGCCGCGACAACACTAGGGGGAAGCAAAAATCAAGCTTCTGCCCTGGAAAGCGGCTTCCCGGCGAGGCGGGAGCCCCGTCCGGCCCCGGGGGGGACGGGACCCGGCGCCCTTCACAAGCCACGGGGCGGGGGGGGAACCTTCCGGAGCGGCAGCGCCAGGGAGCCGAGGGGCTCGGGGAGGGATCCCGTTTCCGGGCACGCCGGCCCCCTCCGCCCGGCCGCAAGCCCCTCGCCGCCTCCGGGCCGTCGATCCTCCCGCGGCAGCCGCTCCCTCCCCGC